CCATTTATTGATGAAGCAGAACCACCAAGCACATGTGATTCTGGGCAGCTGACCACATGGAGTTGAGGGTGAGGGGTCTTTATACCTTCTCTTGGGCTTTGCACGTGAGCTTCCTGTTCCTGTGCAAGAGCATGTATTCTATTGGCTGTTGTCAGACTCCCGTGGTGCCATGTACAAATCCTAAGAATTTGTCTGAGCTACGTTTGGTTGAAGTTTGGGATGATGCAATGAAGTTAAGCCAACATGGTATTTTTTAAGATGTATATAAAACTGTAGTCTGAGAAACACTGGCCATAATACTTTATTTCCAGTTGTATATGGTCTACTTAACTACATAACTATGATCCACGATGGTGCAGTGGTTAGAATGCAGTACTACAGGCTACTCCTGTTGATCACTGGCTACCAGCAGTTTGGCAGTTCAGTTTTCACCAGCTCAAGGTTGACCTATCCTTCCATCCTTCCGAGATTGGTAAAATGAGGACCTAGATTGTTTGGGGAGATATGCTGACTCTGTAAACCACTGTAAAGCACTGTGAAGTGGCATATAAGTCTAAGTGCTATTGCTATAAATTTTATCATTCATGTTTAAAACGTTTGCTTTTTTTAAGATACAAAATTGGGTTCGATCCAAGTGGTTGGTTAACAATCAGTGAATATTACGGAATTGTGAAAATAGCAAAAACTCTTGGTAAAGAATATCTATTTATGAATAAAACCATTCTGATTCACGCCATTGATGATGGTAAGTTCCTCTTTTTTCCCCCCAGTGTGTGAGTTCTTGAGTATGGGCAAGGGCTCAGCAAACATTCAAAGTCATCCCTATTTAATATGCTTTCAGAATTGGTTCTCTCTGTGTGTGATGTAAAAGTTGGAGAGTTTCTTTTTCAGGCATGAACTTTTCTAGTCGTGGTGCAAGGATTGATATGTTCCTTTGGGTCTGTGAAGCAAGACAGCGTGGAGCACATGGCTGGATTGCCAGAGATGACAGAAGTTACATCCTGTGCTCTGAGATGCCTTGTGAACATGTTTAGCTGCAAGATTTAATTACCCTATGGAAGAAAATATGAACCAATTGATCAGGAATTGAGATCTCCATCATTGGCAGAATGTCAGGGTTCCAAGTAACGCCCCCAATGAAAGAAGACCCCAAGGATTGAGTTTCCTCAAAGGTCCATTTTATTAGAGATGTCATATCGGCACATCTGGGAAAACCCGAATCTGAAAACTTCCAGGTTTTCCCCACCCAAAAGAAAGTCCAAGTCCCTGCCCAAAATCCACATGTCCATCACATGGTCCAATCAGGTACCGTCCAAAACAGGAGATGCCTCCCGTCACACCATTGCAGCTGCAGGGCAAGATGGCCTTGACTCTCTGAGAAAAGAATGTTATTTTGACCCATAGTCTGCATAATCCCTCCTGCCATTTTCCCATAGTAAAAAAATACGGCAGGCCTAAAGGCCCAAATATAAAAGATGGCTTCCAGGTCAGATACAAAGCTAGTTATGCTGTTGAGGTCTTCATCCAGTGTCTGGAAGCTATGAGCATCTGTAGGGAGAACAATTTTCTTCAACAAAATGAGTAGCTGTGGGATATTACACCCTGGTCAAAGGAGCTACACAATTTGAGAATCCTGTTTAAAGAGGTGGGCTTTGTCAGACATCTGTCTTGTGCAGCAGTTGCACCTGTTTCTAGATCAGGAGGCTCTGCTTGCAGTTACTCATTAGTTAGTTGCAACCCCATTATCACATTACAGCAATGCATTCTACCTGGGGATGCCCTTTAAATACATTTGGAAACTTCAACTGGTCTAAAATGCACAGTTCTGAGCACATCGTGGTTTGTGTATACCAATGATCCCCAACCTTTGTAGTTTGGCAGCCCAGTGGAGAAGGAGGGGGAGGGGGAGAAGGGAATTGGGCCATTTCAAGTGGTGGGCTGGCACATGCATGCATGCGCAACTCAACTTGCACAAGTTGAACTGTGTGCACAGGTGCATGCATGCCAGCCTGCTACTCATGCGAGTTGAGCTGGTTGCAAATAGTCTGGGGTCCAGTAGTGGGCCACATCCTGGGGTTGGGGACTCCTGGTCTATACTATACTGGTGTTGTACACAGTGTCACCAGCTCTCAATCTGCTTCCAGGTGCAATTCAAAGTGCTGATTATCACCTTTGAAGTCCTTTATGGTAGAGAGTCGTGTTATATTCCCCTCTTCAAGGTTTTGCTGCCCCACCAGATCTGACAGGGCAACATGATGGCATATCATCTGGTGGGACATAGGAGATATGCCATCTTCGTCATGGCATCCACCCTATCTAAAACGCTACCACCAAGTTACAAAAGACCCTGAAGCTCTACTGGAAGGCTGTGAAGTCCTGGATCCTCCCCCTGGGCTGGGCTGGGCTGGGATGGGATGGAATACTGGCTTATCCCAGGATAGGTGTGATTTCGGTTGTGAGCCTATTAAAAGGTGCCTTGGTTAGAACATTATTATTTTAATTGCTCTTGTATTTTGTTGATAGACATTTTGTGTATGTGTCTGTGTGCATCAGTGGTGGGATTCAAATGTCTTTACTACCGGTTCCGTGGGCGTGGCTTGGTGGGCATAGCTTGGTGGGTGTGGCAGGGGACGGATACTATAAAATCTCCATTCCCTCCCCACTCCAGGGGGAGGTTACTGCAAAATCCGCATTCCCTCCCGATCAGCTGGGACTCAGGAGGCAGAGAATAGATGGGGGCGGGGCCAGCCAGAGATAGTATTTACCAGTTCTCCAAACTACTCAAAATTTCCACTACTGGTTCTCCAGAACTGGTCAGAATCTGCTGAAAACTATCTCTGGTGTGCATGGAAGATTGTTGGCACTTCAGGGTGATGTTGTGTATGTAAGATACAGTAGGTGACCATGCATATTTCAAAAATACCTATAATGAAATCCATCATTAAATTCTGGAGCACGCTGTGCTTTTTCAGATCATTTGTTCCAGTCTGTTATGTCAGGTGTTGTGTGTACAGCCAGGAAAAAAAAACTATTTGATTTAGTTGGATTGATATTTATTTCATTAATTGAAATACAATGAATGAAATTCATCTTCATAATTCATTACTTTCTTTTATGATATTGCCAACTTGATGGCAACTTGCAGCTGCTTCTAGAGCTTTGGAGAGCAGCATGCAAACCACATCTAAACTACATGGTCTTCCCTTAGTTTGAAGGCTCCTTCCTGCTGCCATAAATGGTTTCAATAAATGGTTTCTTAAAATTAAAATACTGTTTTCTTTTCCAGGCACCCCACCGTTAACTGGCACTGGTACCATCCAACTTTACATCAGTCCTTCAAAACCGATTAGAGTACAAAATTTGACGATATGCGAGGAAAAAGGACTGGGTCCTTTCCATATAACATCTGAAGTTGAAGAGTACAATTCAGTCCAATTGGAAGATGCCTTGGAGGGCACTGAAAATCTCTGGAGACTGGGAAAGAGCTTTGGCAAGTGACTGCTAATTGGGAATTGGGAATGTCCTTTGATTTCACCTCTAGAGAGAGATTTCTCCTGGGAATGGAGAAGAATAATTGAGGATTGTCAGCCATTCAAGGCAGGCCAGGATGCTTCCTGACTACTCAAAATATGATGAAGAAATGTACACCACAAACTTGTGATCTTGTAAAACCACAGAACATTACTGCAGCCATCTGTGTTCTTGCACCTGGAACTGAAATGTTACAAGAAGTTGATATTTGCTGCAGTGGTGGATTTCAAAAATTTTCACTACTGGTTTGGTGGGCATGGCTAGGTGGGGGGGGGGTCATGTGACTGAGTGGGTGTGGGCACCTTGACGTCACTTAGTCACACGACCCCCCCACCAAGCCACGCCCACAGGCAAAGGTAGGATTTTTTTTGAAATTTCTACCTATCTACTCATGCCCCCATTTTGCCTTCTTTAGCAGCCCCGCCCCACCCCACCTGCCACCCCCAAATTGTGCCCCACTGCGAGACACACATCTTATCAGAGTCTGGCAGCTCCGTCGTGTCTCTCAGCCATTGTATGCAGGCAAAAACCTTGCACAATAAAGAAAAACTTCTTGTGCGTGCGAGGCTATTAACAACTTCTCACATATTTGGGAAGCTTTTCTTTTTTCTTTTTTCTTTTTTGAAAAGTTTTTATTTTATTTTAATTGAACAAAAACACAAAAGAAGAATCATCCTTCATTACATCTTGTAGAAAGCGTGCCGATTGGTTACAGATAACTTCCGTGCATTTTTTTCATAGTCATTACTTATAGTTCATGTGAGATTATACACTTTAAATCAAAAATCTTTGTATATCTTACTATCAATGTACCACAATTCTCATTTGACTACAATTATTTAAACATACCTTTACCTCAAATCATTCATACTTAAAGACACAACCACATAATGGCATGCATTAGCTACTTCAAAAAATCCTCCAATAACATTACACCTTTATGACATCTTTTAAGTAAAAGTCAATTAATAAAGTTTCTATATCTTTCCCTTGGGTCGATCAGGGACTTTGCAATGTCCCTCAGACCAGCAAGGCTTTGTCTTCCTGATCACCATCTCTGCGAGATGGTTTAGGTCTCAATGGACTGTCCAGCAGCAAAAGTGTCAATGGCAGTCTCAGAGTGTCGAAACTGCACGTTGTGACATCGTGACGTTGGCTCCTCCTTTTCCAGAAGCTTTTCTTTACTGTGCAAGGTTTTTCCATTCACACAATGGCTGAGAGATACTCGCACCTTGCACAGTAAAGGAAAACTTCCCAAGAGTGTGAGAAGTTGTTAATTACCTTGCACTCATGAAAAGTAGGTGTCCCATCACTGGAAGCTTTTAAGAAGAGACTGGACAGCCATTTGTTTAATTTAGTTTAGTTTAGTGTAGTTTAGTTTAGTTTAGTTTAGTTTAGTTTAGTTTAGTTTAGTTTAGTTTAG